ACACACACATACAGCATATATTTTGAAAATATTTACATGTATATATTTATATTCATATAATTTATATCATATATAAATATATTTAATATATAAACGTAACATATTTTTCTTAAATATATACATGCATGTGTGTGTATTTATATATACATAATATATAAACACAGTACACACACATATATTATGTAAACAAAAAGTTTATTTGGGATGCGATTAATTGTTTGACAGCACTATTTCTGATTCTTTTTTTTAAGTGTTTCTGATTTTAAATTTTAAATCATTTCAGGAGCTCTTTGAATTTCTTGAGAAGAGGACTCTACGCCAATACATTCACAAGGTGTGATAAAGTTTTGAACCTCTCGCTCATTCATACAATACTTCCTTTAAGTATTGTACTTTTTAAAAAAATCCTGGTACACTGAACATTTCCCATTGGATCACAATCAGAATAAACAGGAAATAATCTTAATTGATGCTGCTTGCAGAACATCATCCACAGCTCTAGTTCAGTTGGAGATGAGATGGCCCACTACCTGTATGTGCTGCAGACGGTCCGTCTGAACCACCTGGAGGCCCGGATGAGGACGCCTCTGGACTCCTACAACCAGGTTTTCTTTCGTTCTGCATCTTCATTTGATTTTTGAGTTGCTCAGCTCACCTTTATTTCTCACACATGCATTTCTCTGGTATCCTTTAGGAGCAAAGGGACATGCTTCACGTGCTCAGGCAGGCCGCGTTTGAGACGGAAAGCGAGAGCGGTCTGAGTAACGAACGGAGACGTTCCCTCTGCGCTAAAGAGTTTAAGAAACTCGGCTTCTCTGTGAGTACGACAAAAATGTTTCGGAGTGAAAGTGTGAATATTGCACCACAACAAACCTCAAAGCTTAAATTTGAGTGTGTTTGTGTTTGTCAGAATAACAGTAATCCTGGTCAGGACCTGAGCCGGTGTCCTCCGGGTCTCCTGGCGTTGGACACTATGGCGTATTTTGCCTCCCGTTACCCTGATGCTTACAGCAGGGTGAGTGAGCCCACTTGGATATTATGTTATCTAATGCAGAAAAATTATTTTTGGAGCCATTGAATGTCACTATATTAGTACGTATCGGCCCATAAGTCTTTTGTCTCACTGTCTCAGTTTGTGCTGGAGAACAGCAGCAGAGAGGACAAGCACGAGTGTCCGTTTGCCCGCAGCAGCATTCAGCTCACCCTCATCTTGTGTGAGATTTTGCGCATCGGAGAACCCCGTGAGTGAATTGACACAGTGCTTGAGATGGTGGCCATGATCAGAGATGATTTTATAGCTTAGGTTATGTCCTGATGGGGAAAAATTTTGCAAACTGGAAATGTTTGTATTATATTTATGTACACATACAAATATTTATATTTTCTCTTGTTGTGTAACTCATTTCACTCGTGTCTTTACCGCAGCCTCTGAGACCGGTTCAGACTATCATCCCATCTTCTTTGCTCAGGACCGGCTGCTGGAGGAGCTTTTCTGCATCTGCATTCAGCTCCTCAACAAGACGTGGAAGGAGATGAGAGCCACGCAGGAGGACTTTGATAAGGTAGATCATCAGCTCCACCATCTCTCTGCTCATAGGTACTTTTTCACATCCTCTGTCCATTCATTGTGTTGGTCAGCTCTTACTAAAACTAAACTGTATTTTACACTATTCATAGCATATTTCCTTTCTGAAATCCACTTATAATATTTTTGCACCAAAAACACTATTTGTTTTACATTTGCATTATACATCCTCTAGCTGACCAGTGTTACTGCTAACTAAAATTATTATAATAATTTTTTGTTAATTATAATAATACTGGAATAAAATATAAAGTATTAGACACACAATTTAAACTTAAAAAAAAATATATTTTATTTACTTAGTTACCAGGACAACATTTCTAATTTTCATAAGTTGAATTACTAAAAGTACTAAAGCTAAAATTTGACAAATAAGAATATTAAAAAACAAAGAATAATAAAAGCACATAAGAAACTTACTAAACAAAATTACTGCTGAAATTTCTGCTTTGCCATCACGGGAATAAAATTAAATACTGACCACAAATTTGATAATGTCATTTTACAGCTGCTGTAATTCTTTTTTTAATTCTTTTTTAAAAATAAGTTGAATGTGCTGTAAATGCTGTTTCATGTTGACTTTAAAGGGATAGTTCACCCAAAAATGAAAATTCTGTCATTAATTACTCACCCTCATGTCAAGACCTTTGTTCATCTTCGGAACACAAATTAAGATATTTTCGATGAAATCCGAGAGCTTACTGACCCTACATAGACAGCAACGCAATTACCACATTCAAGGCCCAGAAAGGTAGTAAGGACATCGTTGAAATAGTCCATGTGACATCAGTGGTACAACCGTAATGCTATGAAGCTACGAGAATACTTTTTGTGCGCAAAGAAAACAAAAATAACGACTTTATTCAACATGGACTATTACCTTACTACCTTTCTGGGCCTTGAAGGTATCAGATGCGTTGCTGTCTAATATGCAGGGTCAGAAAGCTCTTGGATTTCATAAAAAAAAAAAATTCTTAATTTTTGTTCATTTTTGGGTGAACTATCCCTTTGAAGATTCAAATAAGTCATCATAAAGCTAGTGTATTTTTAAAGTATAATTGGCTATTATTTTAAAATCAAAGTGTTTTAATCACTTCTTGAAAGCATTCATTTGCAATTGAATCGCACAACAGACGTATCTGAGAAGTGACCAGCTGCCTGCAGCAGTGATTTATAGTTTATAGAACAAATGGATATTGATCGGTTCATCTGGACGTGTCTGAGAAACGTCAAGCTAGTGCAATGACAAGCATGCTGCTCCTCGACCAAAGCGACAGACTCCTCCTTTAAGTGCTTTTGTGTTTATCAACATTCCCTAAATTGTTCCGTCTCCTTTTCTGATGTCAAAGAAAGCTTTCTTACTCCAGCCCAAACTATTCATCGGTGCAACAAAACAGACCTCCGTTTAATAACCGCTTTCAGGCTGTAAACCCCGTGACTTTTGGGATGGAGCGAGTGTCCAGCTGACCGGCCTGTCTTTTGTTTTCGCTGATCGTCGCCCCCACCACACCAACCTCGTGGGCAGGGACTTTATAAAGGGGTATTAGAGGAACAAAAGGAATCCCGCTCCCTCGCAGAAATACACATCAGCAGTAAACCACATCCCAAAAATAGCTTGGCATTTTGAAGTGTCAAAATAGCATTTTCAGTGTATAAAATGCCCTTTTTGTCTTTGTTCTGGAAGGTTTTTTTGAAAACATTAACGTGTTAAGAAACATGTGGCGTGTGTTTAACGATTCAAGGGTTGTCTTGACGTCAAACCGGAGAAAAGTAGTCAAAGTTGAGCTCTTGTTTCGCCTCAGAAGGGGAATTACGCTAACTGTGTGTGTTTTCTAATAACTTACTCACTTAACCGCCTTTTTTCCCTCTTTCTTTGCACCCTGACTGTGCTGTTTAACAACCGTTAATAGCTGCTGGCATATTGCTATTGCCGGCTGGTTTGCTGAGGCCTGTGAAGTGTGTGTGTGTGTGTGTGTGTGAGTGTGAGTTTATTGGTGGGCATCTAGAAGGGAGGGACCATACACTCTCTCTAACACACACACACACACACTCAGTGTCGCTGTGGTTGTGAGGGGACTGTAGTGCTTTCACTACAGCTGAGGTAGGATGAGTGTTTTGTCTCTTGTGTTGTAGGAATAGAATAAATATTTTAGTTGTATTAAGCAAGTTATGGCGGAAGATGATGATGTGATGTGGCTGTCAGTATGTTGATATGTATATTGTTTGAGTAGTATTGTGTCATTTATATGATTGAACTCTCTTTTGCTTGAGTTTGATAACAATCCCAGTTTCTTTACATTGCAAGCATGTTATGCATA